ATTTTAAGCTCCTATTTCAGTTTTATTCTATTTTCTTATTTCAGACCATTTGCTAGTATCAGGATCAGGTGAGTCTGTTTCTGCGTCTGTGGGTGAGGACATCACTCTGAGCTGCTCTGTAGACTCTCACATCAAACCTGAACACATTGAGGTTTCATGGCTAAGGACAGATGGAGATATTCTGGTTCTGCTCTTCCAAAACAATGAGACTTTCTCAGATTCATCAGATGAACAATACAGAGACAGAGTTGAGATCCCCAAAGGAAACTTCTCTCTCAGACTGAAGAGTGTCAGAACTGAGGATAAAGGAGTTTACATGTGTTTAGTGTTTGCTGGAGATCTTTCAGCCAATGCAACTGTAGTACTGGAGCAATTTGGTGAGTCGAAAAACATAGCAAAAAATAAGGAATTCAGTGGCTGGGAATGGGCACTGTAGGTCCACTGATGAGAAGTAGGACAGGAGAGAATGGTATAATCCAGTGGTATTCATGCCAAAAAAGCATAAAATGCATTTGATTTATATCTTATGCCTTGTGCGGATTTAATGGAAAAACTTGGTAATGCTAAGCTTATCAATACCATCGATCTAAGTAAAGGGTACTGACGTGTCTGTGGACCTTGAGTCGTGAGAGATGACAGCTTTCCATATGCCGAGGGCTCTGATGCATTGAATCAACAGCAGCATGAAATCAATGATAAATCATGCAAATTATGAATTACACTGCAAAGATGATGATATTTCAGACATTCCTGGCAAAAACAATCAAGAAAAACTAGTAAAATGTACCTCCAAGGTTCCATTAAATATCTGACAGAATTTTGAGCAAAATAATGCCACGAAATGTCTATATGTTTAAAAACATATATGTCTTACATTTTAGTAGTTATGTACATTGTTTTTGCTCCGTGTCTAAATAATTGTTACACTAAAATAAAAATAAAATAACAAAACATTAGGCTACACAAATTTTTACGAGATTGTGATGAATATCGTGTTGTAAAAAGAAAAGCTCACTTGTAAAAAGTCACTTTGAATAAAAGCATCTATATTTTAGCAAAACATAGCCCACAACGCCAATCTTCATTTAACAAGAAACAACAAAAAGCAAAAACAGTGGACAAAAACTCAAATTTTCATGATCAAGATTTTATCATAGCTCTGTCTAACCTTCTTGTTATTGGCTATTATTACTAATTCTGCCCACCATTGCTCAGATATAGGCTATTTAGCTGCAATATAAATAGAATATTCCATTGATAGTTTGTGTGAAAAACATCTTGCAGTTTATTTGCAAGATGCTATACTGTATTTGTTTATGCTCTTGCAAAAAGCATCTACCCTTTTTGTACATTTAGTTTAAATAGGGTCATTCCGTGTCAATTCAACCAAATTCCTCCTGCTCAAATGTTTGTGTTACGGTCTCTCTAAGGAAGGTGCAGAAGACAAAGGATAATCCACAACAAAAAGTCTCAAACCCTATTCTCACGGGATTAGTATTACCGGTGACCTCCAGTCATTTGTAATAATTGCAGAGGTTGTCTGTGATCTTAATCCCGTGCGAATCGGCCATGTCTGTAATTTGTAATGTAAAAATTCCCCCGCAAAAGCCCTACCATATTTCGCTGAACACCGAGGTCCTGTGATAATATTAGTCCCGTGCGAATCGGCATCTCTCTGTGATATGGCCAGCATTTGGCAAGTTGTATATCCATCTTTCGCGAAGAATGGAGCTGCGTTAGAGTGTTTGATAGTATTCTGGGTGCTGTCATCATATCGTTACACCATACAATTTGCAGAAAGAGAAAGCTGAAAAGGTTTTGAGGTTAATGTGTTTCAAATAAATCAAGCACAGATAATACTAATCCCGTGCGAATATGTCACTACTCTCAGGGTCCTAACATCCAGCATGAAACATCAAACAATCACCGACAAACTACTGAACAGAAGGAAGACTTTAAGTAGGGCAGCTGACCAGGGGAAAACAGGTGAAGGGAGTTAAAGGTCCCCTGAAATGCATAGAAACACATAGCGTTACTCTATGTGTTGACGTCATTTGAACTGAAACAGGAAGACAGGGCGGGACATATCAAGCAGCCCCGCCCCTTTTTAAAATAGCCAATAGCGTTCGTTTATATCACAGCTTGGGCTAGAGCCGTTCAGCCGTTGAGCTCTGTAAAGCCGTATTTGACAGGGTATGCCAGCCACAATCTCATCCATATTGCTATAAAATATAGCATTCTGTGTAGAATTCAAATAGCTCCGATACATTTTGTGATCTGCTCCGTGCTATCGTGTCTCTGGTCCGGAGCAGAGTGTGTGCGGTGCGGTGGATAGCATGACCCAGCGCGAAACCAGACTTCTTTTTTTCCTCGATGGAAAGCATATTTACACTGTTTGAATCGTTCCCTGTCCCCTATATAGTGCACTACGTGCCATTCACTGTGCAGAAAATACTAAGTGACCGATTTCAGCCGCGGCTTCAGCATCTATTTTATAGTGTAGGGGGCGGGGCTTCAGATTCTAGAGAGCATTTGATTGGACAGAAAGTTTGATGAGAAGCTGAAGTACGATGTGACGTCCAAAAAAATCGTTGAGCCGTTTTGGCGGAAGTGACGAACTGCAAGCGTTGAATGCTTATATCTTCTAAATGCGGATGTTGTCACTGTTTTGGAGCACACTGCCTTATAGATAACCTTAAGACTAACATATTGATACTAACACCCAAAAAACTTTATTTTTGATTTCATGGGACTTTATCTAATAATGACTAACCAGCAAATTAATCAAAAACCATGGAAACTAATAGAGGAGGGGACTCAGGGAAATGTGGAGGCAGAAACAGAACTAAAACAGAACATAACCCTGACGGTTTGATTTTGCTAACATTTTGTTTAACTATTGGCATATAATCTAACAACGATTGCTAAAGTCAACAGATTTTACCAACAGACCTACTTATCTCTGTGTAAAAGTAACATAATGATGCTGCAAAATCCGTGTATCATTCAATCATTTGTTTTTTGATTTAATATTGAAAGTAGAAAAATTAGAAAACGGCCCCTTTTTCAACAGCATTAAGGTGAGTAGTCACTCTAGTTCACACAGTTCCAATAAATTGCGATGGGTTAAATAAACTCAATAAGCAGACAGACGCAACTACAGTCAAGCGCAGACCAGTATTGAAGTGTACAGGAAAGAAGCAGCGGTCATATTTAAACCAGTTTATAATATGAAATTGATAAAATGGGTTATTAATCCGTACAACTGCAGCAGTGGAGGACTATTATTCTGCTGCGTGATACTGCGGAAGAACTGATAAAGGCATGGTTTGATCTTCGGCTGACCAATCAGCAGAAAGGGGCGTTTAATTCCCGCCCACGTCTAGAAATCGAATATTCAAGCTGTTTATTCATTTTTCCACCCATGAACAAAAAACGAACATTTAAGCAGAATTTTAGTTTTTCCTTTTTTGGAAAAAGGAAACCAGAAAAATAATGCAGGATCTTCAAAGGTTTCTTGCCCATCTGACCGATGAACAGTCTAAAAATTTAACCTGCTTACTACATGCTTTTCCGACCTTATTTAGTGATGTGCCAGGTAGAACTACACTATGTGTGCATGACATTGATGTTGGAGATGCTGCCCCTATAAAGCAGCATCCTTACAGAGTGAATCCAAGGAAACGTGAAATCATGCAAAATGAGGTTGAGTATATGCTGCGTCAAGTCCCTGGAGTTCCCCTGGTCTCCTTGTCCCAAAACCCGATAACACCTTTCGATTTTGCACAGATTATCGAAAAGTCAACCATGTAACGAAACCTGACTCTTTCCCACTTCCCAGAATGGAAGACTCTGTAGATAGAGTGGGTTTTAGCCAAGTATGTCACAAAATTAGATCTGCTAAAGGGATATTGGCAGGTACTTCTCAGCCAACGTGCCTCAGAGATTTCAGCATTTGTCACCCCTGGCAGCTTCCTGCAGTACAAGGTCTTAGCTTTCGGGATGCAAAACGCACCAGCTACGTTTCAGCGTATGATGCATCAGATACTGTCCGATGTGACCAACTGTGAAGTGTATCTAGATGATATCGTGGTATATTCAGATAACTGGACCGATCATGTGAAGACCCTTGAAAAGTTTAAGTGCCTGACTGCTGCTTCTTTGACCCTAAATCTTGCTAAATATGAGTTTGCAAAAGGAGTTGTCACATACTTGGGCAAGCAAGTTGGTCAAGGAGTGGTGAAACCTGTTGAAGCCAAAATCTCAGCCATCCTTGAATTTCCTGTGCCCTGTAACAAGCGGGAGTTAAGACGTTTTTTGGGAATGAGTGGATATTACAGATGTTTTTGTCCCAATTTCTCTGCTCTAGTCTCTCCCCTTACAGACCTGCTTAGCACGAGTAGAAGGTTTGAGTGGACCAGTGATTGTGAACTTGCCTTCAATGCTGCAAAATACCTCCTCTGCCATGCCCCTGTTCTCTCCGCTCCAAATTTCAAGATACCCTTCAGATTGCAGGTGGATGCAAGTGCTACTGGAGCTGGGGCAGTTCTGCTGCAGGAGGATGAAGCCCATGTTGACCACCCAGTTTCCTACTTCTCTAAAAAGTTCTCCAAGACCCAGCAAAACTACAGTGTGGTTGAAAAGGAAGCTCTGGCACTTTTGCTGGCACTTCAACACTTTGAGGTTTATTTGGGAAACAGTCCTCAATCTATCCTTGTGTACACTGACCATAACCCTTTGGTATTCCTTTCTCGCATGTCAGGTACCAATCAGCGCTCGTTGCGGTGGGCTCTCGCTGTCCAGGAGTATAACCTGGAAATTCGACACAAGAAGGGCACGGAAAATGTTATGGCAGATGCTCTCTCAAGAGCATAGAAGTACTGTTTTCTCGTTGTCTCTTATATCTTCTTTCCTAGAGTGAATGGTAAGAGTGTAAGTGTTTGCTACAAACCTCGGTTTGTATTCTTAATGGTGGGGGTGTTACATCCCTAGGCTGCATGCGTTATATTTATTTTTAAGTGTCTTTCCCACTCCTTTGGGTGTGGTCATGTTATCCTGTGTATGTGCTGTAGGTGCTCTCTCTCTTTCTCTTAATCTGCTTGCTTGGCAGTAGCAAATTGCCCACAGGTGGTGCTCGTCAGAGAATGTGCCGCAGAGACACAAAACCTACAAAAGAGCAGAAGAAACGATTTGGAGGGAGGTTCACTTCTCCCCTGCTCCAGACTTTTTGGTGTTTGTAAAGTTTGCTGAGTGTGGTGCAAACTTGGGACATTTCTTCATGAAAACGCTTTTGATTGTTATAGTGTATTCCTGTTGTCCAGCAGTGTTGTGCTGCTACTGTGCAGGTAGTGTGACTACTCTAACTTCGTTTTTCAAAGTATTAAAAAGGTATTGTAATTGTTGTTCATTTGCTTTGTTAAATCGTAAGCTGTAGGGAGAGGGTGCCATTTTTGTTTTGTACTCCCTGTTCATCCCTGTTTTTGGTTAGCGAGGGAGTTGAGGAAAGTTTCTGTTGTTGATTTCTTTTCTTTTACCTGGACAGATTATTTAGTACTCCTCCTGTAAGTTAGGGGCTTCCATACCACCTCAGCAGTGCCACAAACTGATCACCTCCATGCCACGCCGAATTGAGGCAGTAATTAAAGCAAAAATAGCCCCTACCAAGTATTGAGTACATGTACAGTAAATTAACATACTTTCCAGAAGGCCAACAATTCATTAAAAAAAAATTCTTTCTTATGAAGTATTCTAATTTGTTGAGATAGTGAATTGGTGGGTTTTTGTTAAATGTGAGCCAAAGTCATCACAATTAAAAGAACCAAAGACTTAAACTACTTCAGTCTGTGTGCATTGAATGTATTTAATACACGAGTTTCACAATTTGAGTTGAATTACTGAAATAAATCAACTTTTCCACGACATTCTAATTTATTGAGATGCACCTGTATATAAAATATGTAATTTTTTTTCATAATTATTCCCCAGTAGGAAACGATGACCTATTATCAAATTGATTCAGTGCAGATGTAAATGTTATACCTGATGTTTGTGTTTCACAGGTGTCTCTTCTTGGCACATAGCTGTGTTATTTTTCTGTTTTGCTGCTGGATTTGGAGCTGTGCTTCTCCTCTGCTGTCTGATCTACTGCAGATCAAATAACACAGGTGTGTTTGGAAGAGAATTGTTCTCACTTGTGGTACTGTGGTACACAAACTCTGTATGTGTATCTGTAAGTGTCTCATTTAACTGGGATAGTTTTACATCTTCCAGTCACCAGCAGAACAATCAGGAATCTTCAGCTTTCTCTGGTCTTTTATCCAAACATCTGTATGTTCTTTGCCTTTATCTTCTGGGTTCTTACTGAAGGTGAGTGCAGTACAGTAGTTTAGCATCTTTGATATTGTAATTATGTACAGAACAATATTAAGAATATGACAGATTTTCTAAGTGTTCTAATGTAGTGCTAATCTTTCATGATGAGAGTTTTTTTGTCTCATGTCCACTAATACCCATCATTTAATATTCTGTTCCAGAACTTCTGAATGAGACCATCACTTGCTGTGCTCTTAATATTCTGAGGTCTTTAATGTTGATTTGGGCTTTGTCTTATTTAAATTATCTTCAAGGTATGTTTACAATCTACATATTTAATTTTTTTCAATGAGAAATATATTGATGATGACATTTTTACCCTTGACATATTTTAAGAGATTAATGCTGTTAGTTAAATACATGTAAAATATTGAAATGTGGCTAAGAGTTCTATGCCTAACTCAAGCTAAACACATGGAGACAACACATTTTTCGAGGAATTCAGGGTGACTCGCGACCATGCTTTATTTGATATGTTGGGAATAAGAATATTTAAAATTTGTCTGTTTGCCAACAGCGGGGGATACAATTTACTCAAGCAGGACTGAACTAACAAACATTGTTGAGCTTTATAATAAAATATTAATTGGGTGTAATGTTGTGTGCTTACAGACAACCTTAAAACATGGATCAAGTTTTCAAGTAGAAAAAGAGAATTAGCTGTTTTCACAGTCGTTGTTTATTCAGGTGGGTAAATCTGAATTTTGCACAGCAGAAGTCATAGACATTATTCTCACATTAAAAGCAATTAAAAGCATTTCACAAATTTTAATGATATCTGTCTGCTTGTAGGGCATTTTTTCCACATTACTCCATTAAAGATAGATAGATAGATTGATTGATTATAACACCTGAAAGGCAGACTCTGCCAGGTTGAAATGATAAAATGACCAGAAAAAAAAAACATAAACCATCTCATTTTTTGAAAATTAATTTGACAAATTATTTTCACAACATTATTGGGGCTAGACTGTCAATATTAAATTGAAAAAGCAAATATTTAAATTAAAATGTAAAGTTTAGTTTCCATTTCATTTTCTTTATTTTACAATTTCATTTTCAAAGCCATCCAGTATGTAACTTCTATGATAATCAGTAGGTGGGCCTCACTGTTTAAAAGAGGTAGAGAGTCTGAGGAGGTGCACAACAGAAAGCATTTACATTTATGCATTTACCAGATGCTTTTATCAAAAGTGACTTACATTTCATTATGTGAGGTGTACATTTGATCAGTTTATGCTTTCCGTGGGAATCAAACTTGACATCAGCATTGCTAGTCATACTCTACAGTTTGAGCTACAAGAATAAATAAATGGGCTATGTGATAGTTGGACTGGAACTATAATTAATGTTGACAAGTATTAGGTGTTTACACAGGATTCAAACATACTGCATGAGCGGCACATTTTAGAGCCCATAATAAGTTTTTACGTAGGACTTTGATTTTTTATTTGTGTCATGGTTATTGCTTTAGCATTGAGAAGGAAATCTTTTTCACATACTTTTTTTAATATTTGCAGTTTTTTTTTTTTTTGCATTGCCATTGTGAACATTTAAAATCATAATCAAATCTCTTCTGTTTTTACTTTTGACACATAATTTGGGGACATTTTTCAATAAGAAAATGGTTAATCTGCTTGTCATTACTTCATATAAAATGGGCACAATCTGCCTTTAATACCATTTAATGTGCTTTAATAATAACAATGGGGGTGAGAATTTAAAATATGGGGCTGAAAATTCATCATTCTGAAATAAGATTAGGTACTTTTGCAGTTTTTGCGTAATTTCATGTAGTGCTGCTTTTTCATGAGGTGATCTCCACATACATTAGAACAACCTTATTTAATCAAAACGACAAATTGTTTGACAAACATTGCACAATTCACTCATTCTTAAGGTCTATCATTTTCTTGCAGTTACACTTGTCATTTTTATTTTTTTATTTACTGTTTTTGCGTTTAATTTTGATCTGTTCTTCTGGCAGTTTTTTTGATAGATGCCTGGATAAAGGCTGCAAATAAGAAATCTGCATGGCGCATCATTTTTGGAATGTTCTATGGATGTGTTGTGCTGTTCTCTTTCATTTTGAGTAGAGGTAAGAGTTTTTTAATTATTTGTTTTCACAAGTTGGTATAGCTAATCTGTGACATTTACTGTAAAATACCGGCAGCTGTGGTTGCCAGAACTTCATCGTAAAAAGTATGGTAGCAACATTTTAGGTTTTACAGACTTAACTTAAATTCACAATAAAATACCGTATTTCATTAACTGATGTAATGTTAATAAACCAACATATTGAAGTACTATCTATTTTGAACCATTGTAATGCACTGATAACCACCGAAAACTGGTGGTGATGAGAAAGTCACACGATGAACCAAAGCTCATCACAAACAGCTTTTCTACGAGCTGAGGAGGGCAATACTTGTATATAGAAGGTGCACAGTGTCATTCACACTAACACTAAACCCCATCATGGTGACACACATGATGCTGAAATAATACAATAAACATTAATTTAACAACATTAGATGTAAGATTAAACCCTAGTGTACACAACTGATAAGAAAAAACTCAAATATGAAGTGTTATGCAGGGAATTCTGGGAGTGTCAATTTACGTTTTTTTCACCATAAATTATACAATGACTTTTTCTTTTTCACTTCCAAAAACCGTATTTTTAACAGTATTTTACTGGAAAATCACATTAAATGTAATTACATTTATTCAACGAATATAGTATGGAAACTTACTGTTAACCAGTTAACAGGTTTTTACTGTAGCATTTTTACAGTCTTTTACTGTTAAAATCACAATCATTTTTTACAGTGTAGATTTTGATCTTTTCTTTGACCATTTGAAGCTAAAGCTCACACATTTAACCAGCAAACAAATGTTATCCTTACTGTTGTGATGAGCAACATGGTCCTTTTCATAGTTGGAATTATGTTATATGAGAAAAGATGTGATGAGCATCCGTTCATTTTTTATTATTATTTTTAAGGTTTTATCAGGATGCATGTGAAGTGGGTCTGGTTATATTTTCTGTCTCTGGCACAATTCTTCCTACTGATTTCCTCATTTGGACTTCCCAGTCCAGGTAAGTTGCACCTGAGTACAGTTCCCTTCACACTTAGATTATTAAATACAGTAATATGAATACAGTAATGAGCAATACTTACAAAAACTACATTAATGACACGAATGAAGCAACTGAAAATAGACTCTTTATTTGATTCTAGCATGTATGTTGTCTTTTGAGCAATCATGACATTCTGTCAGTTATGTGTCTGAATTGCTAGTTTAAGTTTGTGTAACTGTAATAGCAATAAATGCTGAGAGTGCTTTCTATTGAAGTCTTCAAGTTCGTCATTTCTGAAAAAGAAATCGTTCTGCTTGATGTGCCCAGGTTTCAGTAGTTTTACTGGTCAATCTCAGTGAGACCACAATCCAGTTTCTTACTAGGCTGCAACTGTTTCTATTTTGTAAATTTCTGTAGAATGAAATACCATGGTGATATACAACTCAGATGTATTACCTTCAATCATAATCTAGTCTTAGCTTTGAGCCCCAGTGCAAAAACACTTCAGTCACTCCTGCTGTCCGACCCGATCCTCTGTGGTGATACTGCTTTAAAAAAAAGTTGCTGGTAAGTTTGGATGTAATTCTGATCCATTACACAGTTCTGGATAACTCTTTGATAGTTTTTTCCTCTGGTATTTCACTTTTTTGTATTCTTTCAGAGCATTTGATAGTATCAGGATCTGATTGTCTGTCTGTGGGTGAGGATGTCACTCTGTAGACAAACTGCTCTGTAGACTCTCAGATGCAAGCTGAATTCAATTCAATTCAAATTTATTTGTATAGCGCTTTTCACAATACACATTGTTTCAAAGCAGCTTTACAGAAAATGCATGTGTCTACATCACAAAGCAGAAGTGAATGTGTCCAAGTAATGTTCATTTGACAAATGAACAGTTCCAAGATAATAGAATCATACAGCTTGCTAACATGAATTAATTTCAGGCAGAAGCTTATTAATGCGATTATTAATGTGTGATCATAATGTTTACAATATAGAGACATTTTGCCAGCTGTGTCACCTGCCAGGGGTCAGCATCATCTCTTCACAGGTGTTGGGGTCATCAGAAGTTTTTATGAGTCTGGATCCACGCTGGAGCTGGTGTAATCTCTAGATACCTCGACATGGGCATCCCAGGGTAGGAACAGAAAGGCAGATATAAATTAATTAGCGGAGCTGCTGTTCATAACGTTTCAAGCAAAAAAAAATAATAAGTTTGTGACTTTTATCTAACTGGGAACAAGGGTGAGATTGAGATTCATTATGCAAATGTTGGCTGAAGAGATGTGTCTTTAATCTAAACAGAGAGAGTGTGTTTGAGCCACGGACATTATCAGGAAGACTATTCCAGAGTTTGGGAGTCAGATTGGAAAATGGTCTCCCTCCTTTAGTGGACTTAGATATCCTATGTACTACTAAAACTCCAGAGTTTAGTGACCTTAAAGAGCCAGATGGATTATAGGGCATAAGAAGATCAGTTAAATATAAAGTGGATTTACAGCCTAAATATGTGTGTATTTATATATATACAGCATACGCAAAGATTGCTGTAAGGGTCTTTTAATTGCTAAAGCTCCAGCAAGTTCATGCTATGAGCATTATCTAGCCTTTGCTATGAGATACGGGGTATTTCTTCAGACATTGTAGGTTCTGTGTGAACATTACTCGTGCAGCTGCTTTGAAGCAGGAGGGCTTCACTAGAAATGGTTGGCTCCCCCCACATTTGTCACGGGTCCCCTGGGGTCTCAACAAGAGCAAGAAGTGCTATCGGTTCTTGTTCCCATAGACTGTTTCTTCCTCTGCGCAGTACGCTCTCTGGCAAGCAAAATGGATTTTACATTTGAAGAGGAATTATTGCAAAACTGTAAGTACACGCTGGTTAAATAGAAAATTATTTGAAAGAGTTTATGTCGTTATTTTACCCAGGTTAAGGGGAGATGAAACGCCTTCGAACTTATTTTACTTCCTTGTGTGAAGTGTGACTGTTGAGCAGGCCCATCAAATATTTTTGAAAACTTACAGATCAGAACGACAAAAGAATTCGCGACTGAAAAGCATATACATTAGTATCATTTTGTAAAACGTTTCAAGCAGAACATTGATTTTTAAATCGCGTAGCGGTTTACAAACAAACACTCGACGACGACACTTCCGGGATCATCTTGGAATTCGAATCCAAAGAAGAATTGTATTGGCGTTCCTTCTTATTAACTGAACATATTTACGCCACGAATAGGGAAATACATGTTGTTCCCTGACTGTTCCGGGAAAAGATTCAAAGCGTCGAGAGTGTCGAAAACAGCGCCATCTGGTGGCGACGCGTCCGGTGTGCGATACATGCGATTGTGCGAATCGGTGCTTCTCGTCCCGAATATATATATATATATATATATTACAATATAACATTTCTGTAATCTATATAACCAACCAGTCAAACGTTTTTGAACAGTAAGATTTTT